GGCAGACCCATTACATTCAACGGTTTATTTAACTTGAATTTTATATAACTTATATACGCTTGGCGATTATAGGAGGAATCTACGGGTCGTTCTAGGGTTCATTATCGCATAACATAGGAGCATTCATTCCACACTTAACTAAGAAAATATTTGGATTTTCTGGAAATCGTACTCTATCGCTTTTACAAGGAAAATGGTTTCTTCCTCAAACAAAACTCTTATGAACTCACCAACTTAATTGTTGACACTTTTTCAAAACTACTTGTATTCTCAGGAAATCAGTGAAACAGGAAAACCAACAGCATTTTGAGGATGGGACGATAAATCGTCAAACAGTTCATTTTGTCATCATAATGTAATTGATTTGAATCATGTAAACATATACTTTGGTGTAACTTTTTCAATTATATTTATGATGGTTGTATTTACTTTGAGCACTATTATACTCGTTGTTGTGATACTATACATGAAGTCCTCCACCCCCGGACGTTTCCGTCATCCTTGATTTGGGGGTGTGACAATTTTTCTGGATACTATTGAACATGAATCGTCTCTTGTTGTTATTATGTTCAATTGTGATCTTGGAATTTAAAAATGTCATTCGATGTTTTGAGTTTGAAGAATTTGATAAAGAATGGATGAAGATGAAGAACAGATGGAGTTGGTGATGTTTATTGATTGAATCAACTTGTTTGATCTGGAAATCAATTTGAGAAATTCAATTTGGTGTATGTTAAGTATTGGTTATAGATGGTCTCACAATTGGAAGGTCGTATTTCGCAAAAAAGTCAAAAAATTTTCGAATATTTCAAATTTCAAGCTTCAATGTTTATTCTATTTTGTCGAGGGGGAGCATAGCAATGATTTATCCAATTCAAGTTCATTCTCATGACCACATGAATGTTTTATAATCATTTTTTATTATAAAAAGGGGGAGAATTTGATATGGCCATTCGAAATTGGATTGTGATTTTTCAAATTCGAGATTTTTGATGAAGCTTATGGTAAGAGATATGAAAGTGGTATCAAAGCAGGAGATAGTGTAATCTAATCGCTATTCTTCTGTCGAGTTGAGGGTTTTCATTGAGGTTTTTCAGTTTAGATTTATTCATGTTATCTAAATCATTTCCGCATTTTGAAAACCTGTTTGTTGCAAATTGATTGTAGATCTCATATCTAAATCTCTCGTTTTCCCTTGAACTCGATTCAAGCTTACACATCTGATTCTATATTTTGTTTCATTGAATTTTCGCTAAAATGCCTAACGACGATCTTCATTCTCTCTCATTCAATCTCCCTAGCAACATTGGATCAACAAGGATTCCTATACTTTTTCCTGAAGATTACGAGGTTTGGGCTCTTCATTTTGAAGATTATGTGTTGGGAATCGAAACACATGGATCTAGCATTTGGCATGCTATGACGGTTGAAACGTAAAAGTATTCCGGTACCAGAGAAGCAGTCAAAACTCAGGCTGACTATGATGCAATCATTGCTGAAAATACAGAAATTCCAAATGATGAGAAGGACAAACTACTGTGTAATTTGAAGGCAATGAGAATCATTCGGTTTGCTCTTCCTTCTGACACATTCTGTCTTGTCAATTCATACGACACTGCAAAAGGAATCTGGGACAGACTGAAGGAATTATATTTAGGTGATGACAACTTGGAACATTCTCTGCAAATGACATTTTTGTCAGATTTTGGATCCTTTGTGCAGAAACCAAATGAGAATCTAGATCAGACTGTCAATCGCTTTAATCACTTGTTAAGCAAAATGCTTAAATACAAGCTTAAACGACAAGTAATTGAATAAATTGTAACATTCATGAATGGTCTGAATGGAAATCAATAGTTTGTACGGTTAAGGCTCATGAACAGTTCAAAAACTATTGTCTGACAAAACTGGTGGGAATACTGAAATCTCATGAAGATGAAGTCACAAAAGAAGCGAAGCTAGTATCTGGTGTTGGATCATTGGCGTTGGTTGCTACAGGTGATAAGCAAAAGAAATCAGTTGTTGAGGATTCCGAATCTGACATTTCTGATGATGATCTCTCTAAGGAAGATAAAGCACTGATGGTGTCTAACCCAAAGAAATTCTTTAAGAAGATTTTTTCTCGTTTCCGAAACAAGTATAAGCAGGGCAATTCCAATTACGAGAAGCCAAGAGAGGAGAGTTATAAGAACTCTCAGAATGATGATAAGAAGAAAGAGAAGAAGTTGCTACGTGATTCTGGACATGACTATAACTATTGCCATGGCAATAATCATTTCGCAAAAGAGTGCATGCTACGTAAACAGAATGAGAAGAAGGAGAATAATAAAGATGAAGCTTACTACACTCAGAAAATCAAAGAACTCTGAAAGATGCAACAAATGCGAAACTTGTGCTGAGGATAGTGATGATGGATAAGTTGAATTGTGGTCCACTGACTCAGAAGATGATGAAGTAAGGAAACCTGCTCATGGTGAGTGTTTCATGGTGAAATCCGAAAAACAAGTCTAGCTAATTAACCCACATGCCATAAACGAAGGCCCATTGTCATCATCCATGGAAGACTTTGAACCTTACATTAATTTATAAATAAAATATTATATATATATATATATATATATATATATATATATATATATATATATAGTTTATTCGGTTTTTTGGGTTTAACCAAAACAATGAAAAATTAACCAAAAATCAAACCAAATAAGATATCCTTATTCAGTTAACCAAACCAAATAACCCGAACCAAATAAATCAAACATCTTTTGGTTCGGTTTGGTTATTTGGTTTTGATTTTTATCACACCCTTGGCTTCAACTAAGGGTAAAGAGTACGTCGCAACATTGTTCGACAGACGTATTAGAATGTACATTTTCTCAGGGAGCCCGTAAAAATTAAAAATAATTAATCGTATAACAAAGTTGATACTCAAGCTCTAAATAATTAATTATAATTTTGTAAGGATGTTAACATCTATGCATGGACGTCTTAAAAGTTAAAACACTAGAGACAAGTTCTTTAAATAATAATAAAAAAAGTTTACAAATCGTTAAAACAATATGGGTGTAAAATATAAATTTGATAATTCCAAATTTCTATGTTTGCACAGTAGACACATGAAAAATGTTAATAAGTCATGTCTAACATGGAATGTGATTATCATGTGCTCTGCCACTAAAATGAGTTATAAGCATGAAAGGGACGTGTTCTCCATATAACATGTTCTCATTGTCCACATGAATTTTACTCATCTTCGATTTCTATTTTCTCCTTATTCGCCCATGTGAATATACGATGACGCTTCAGAATATTAACCTCCGATTCGAAAGTAAAATCGTTAAGCACATTGGCACTCAACTGGAAACAAACATCTATACAAATCTTACAGAAATTTCTCGGACTTCAATAAATCCCCAAATAAAATCATAACTCGGATAGCACGACGAATAACATTAACTTGGGGGATATTCACCTCAAGTCCTCAAGAACCAGCACTTTTGATAAACAAATATCATATAATGGGAATATTTTCTTAAAAAAAAAAATACTTGCCATGTTCATGAAATTTTTTTACCATGTTCAGAATTTCGATCGATTTTTTCTGAAAAAGGTAGTCTGAAAACCATAATAGAGTCAAAAAGTCAACCATAGCAATTTTTGAAATTGTTTTGTATCATAAATCAAAATCTTGAAAATCTACTTGGAGTTCGAAAATTATGAAGGAATTCGAAACTTTTAGAAAAACATTTTTTTTAAAATACTTTATGTTAAAAATCAAAATATTGACATATTAACATGTACTGCAATATAAATAGTTAATTTAACAATATAGAAATTACAACAATTTATAATCATACAATTTTTGTCATTTGTAACATAAAGAGATGAAAGTTGATCCATAGACATAGTGACATGTCCTGCAATAAATATCATATGATTATATAAGATAAATATTGTAACAATTATAAAATAATAAGTCATTAATTGTACCTTATTCATCATAAAATTCATATTTTTCTTAACCACATTAGATGTATTAACGCAAAATCCATACCCTTAAAAAACCAAAAACAACCACAAAATTCATACTAGAATAGTAACATAAAGTAGTGTTCTTACGTTCTCACATTAAATAGTATTCTCATTTGAACTTAACCTATATAATATATATATATATATATATATATATATATATATATATATATATATATATATATATATATATATCTAATATATCTACCAAAATCAAATAAGAAAAAAAATTATATACATATTCTTTTAGCAAACAAACAAAATGAATCATTAAAAAATAAGATGATTCATGATAAAAAATTCCAAAAAAACATTATCATGATTCATTTTTAAGTAATCAAGAAAAAAAAATCATTTTTATGACAGTTTTATAACAAAATCATCATAAAAATGAATCATCGAAATGTTTTTTCGGGTTTTTTTTTACGAATCATGTTATTTTTTATTCATCTAGTGATTCATTTGTTTTATTCGACAAAAAATATGCCGAAAAAAAATTTCTTACTTTCCTATCAAAAATTTTTTTTACCAGATATATATATAATATATATAATATATATAATTATATATATATCTATATATATATATATATGAACCGAACTCACGCCCTAGAAAATTAACTTAGAAAAATTAATCGAAAGTAATCACTACCTTGTTTAAGAATATGGAATAATATGATTCTGTAGAGAAAATGAGCATTGTGTGGATATTCAAATTAAAAATAACGCAATTCATCTTGTTGGAAATTTAATGGAATTTGCAAGTTGGCGAGTTTTCTTATCCACATTGATTGGGGAAGAAACATTTAGTGAGTTTATAATGTTTTTTCTTGATAGGCCTTCAAATGTTACTTGTCCGTATCTTGTGTATCTATTTGATTTGATATTCAACAATTCACATACAATTTTATAACTTGAGGATTTTGTTTGTTTGAGAAGTTCTGTTTTATCATTTAATGAAAACTAGATGGGAATCATGCATTTTATTTTTTCTTAAATCAGGTTTGGATGTTGGTCCAGTCTAGTACGAGGGATGTTCATATCAGTTACATAGCAACAACTACATTAGCAACAGATGGTTTATATTAGCTCTATTTTTACCCCTCCAACTTCTCTTTCTTGTTTCTTTGGCCCCTGCAAGAAACAGAGATAATAAATGAATATATAAATAATTATTGTAGGAAATGAAAAAAAAATGTCAAAAGGGTAATATTGATATATTATGTTAAAGATTTGACTTTCGTTATAACTGATTTTAGTCAGACCAATATTTTTTAAAATAATTAAGATTACAAATTAGTTTGGTTTCCAAAAGGGTAATATTGACATATTACGTCGAGATCAGAGGATTTGTAGCTTTGCCAGAAACTCGTAGTCAAAACAATGACTATGAAACCAATACCAAGATTGGCAAAATCATTACCGGAATGGTGGTCATTAAACTGACTATGATTCTCCTTTGCCAATGCGAAATCCGTCACCATGCCCTCCATGTAATTATTTATGTCTTGATAAGACATTTTTTTCACTTGAGTTTGTCAAACAGTTTAGGTGAAACCTGCAACCAACAGCCAAAACTGTCTCAGCAGAAACAGTATGGGAGTTCCAATAGCCAAAACTGTCTCAGCAGAAACAGTATGGGAGTTCCAATTTCAATACAGATTGGGTTTTTTTTATGGGCAATGAGCTTTTATATAGTCTTAGGAATATGTTGATGTAGAACGGCATGTAAAGAAAGTATGAAAAATAAAGCACATGATACTTTCTTCTTGCTCATACGTTGGTGTATTTGGGGAACTCATAAAACTATCACTGAATCTTGTGGCTGAATATTGGTCTGCTTTCACTGTCAGGAAAGAAATTGTAATTATATATATATACCGTTAATAAAAAGAAATTTAATTATAAAATACAAAGGGTGAAATTATTCAATTTTCATTATTAATCTTCATCTAAATTAAATGTCAACTAAACACAGTGGCAGATTATAATTCTTATAAATTCAATTATCTATTAAGCACACACATACTTAGAAAACCAAAACCTTAAATTCATCCAAAATATATAAGTTGCGAAAGTATGTGAACACCAGAATCGATTAAATCCCATAACTGAAATCAACAAACCATAAGATTAAAAAATATTAAGGGACAATCATCAAATTAGAAAATATTAGGCTATATAGATACTCAAGTTGCAGACATCATCTCTATTCTTTGACGATCAGATAAACAGGCGACGGACATCATCTGTACATTCCAAAAAAATAATAATAATAACGCTTAGATAATCAAACCAACTCAAAATTAGTGGGATGTGAGATATCCAAAAACTAAAATGATAACCTGAGATTCAAAAAGAAACATAGCTGTTTGACTTCAAATCGCTATAAACTTGAATCAATGGTCTTCAAATCTCCCATTTCAAGAAACCAACTACCAACTTATGTTTGAAGAGATCTGCAAGAAAAGGTTATTAAAGAAACAAAGGAATGAGTTGAAAATAACAGGGGATTACCTCTGAGTTGGAAATCTTAGCGAATGTTGCAACCATTTGTCGGTTGAAGTTTGTTTCAATTTCTCATGGTGGTGAGGAACCCAACAATCTATTTTAATATTGCAAAGAAACTATAAATCATCAATTAAACATTTTAAGCTAATTTTGGAAGGATGAAGAAGATGCAAATGAAATCTAGATTCAGTAAAAGATTTAACCTGTGATTTTTATTTTATTTTATTTGTAGACTAATAGAACCACCCTAATGAAATGTTAAGGAAAAGGAAACAATGCCAGTCTTAAGTTTTACATTCCATCTGCTTCTAATAACCCCTTAGCTGGTGCACAGATCACTCATGGTCCTCATCCATCGAGGTTTTACAATCGACAACTTTGAAAACAGGTGACAACTAAAGTTGCAGTGAGATGAAAAAAAATAAGCTTACCGATTCTTTCAGTCATTTCATCAAGTGGTTGGTGTGCATCTTCGAACCTGCCAACTTTGAACAAAAAAAAAGTATCTAATAAGGGACAAATTAGTTTCTTTTTCATAGAGCAGGTGTCTCCAAAATTGGAATAGGGAATATGAAATTCGGTTGAATAGGAAAGGCCTACCAACATTTTTGTCATATGAGTGATGAATAAGAGAAAGCAACCGTCGTTTTCCAGCACACGACATCACAGTAACACAGTTGCAGCAAGGTTCAGTTGGTGTGCGGTGGTGACTGATAAATGAAGAGGACACGAAGAAATAACGTTATTGAAAGCTTATGTGAAAGCTTAACCTGATGGCGATAATTGGAGGAAACGATGAAGGTGTCGTCGTAGCGGAAGGAACCATAAAGCCCTAATAAAAAACCAAGAAGAAATTAAAATCCTAAATATGGGAAAGACGGGGGAATAGGAGAAAGAGAAACATTGGTGGGTTTAGGGTTCGTTGCTCATGCTTGACACTGACCTAATGACCTCCGTTGCACAGAAGCCACTCGGGACAGGTGAAAATTACCCGGTTCGAAAAAGACGTCGGGTCCAAAAGATTACAGACGGAGGTATATTAAAAGCTCCGTCGACTGACCTGCCCTGCATCGCCTCCACATCGGCACGTCCACATGACCGATTCCAGCGGCGTCACCAAATCCATCGCAGGCATTGAAGCGACCGTAGTAGAAAGAGCAAAGAGATGAAGAAATTAATAGAAAGAAGGGATGAAGAGGTGGATTCGGTGAATCCTTGGCGGTGGCGATATCAACAGAGAACGGATGAGGAAGTCTGATTGGTTAAAGAAGGCGGTACAGGATAAGATGGAAAGGAAAAATGGGGCGCTTTTATGAAAAGGAAAACTTGAGTGGAACCGGTGTGGCCAAAGTATCAAATGTAGGAAAAAATGTGGCAGAAATGAGAATTGTAAAAGTTTCCTGTTCCTCAACATTTTAACAATTAATAATATATATAATTGTTGTGCGATTAAACAAACATGGTTCAGTATAACAAGTATTGTCAAGTATTGTCACTTGTATACGTAATTATTAATGGGGCAAAAAATGCTCCCTCTGTCTACGATTCATTAAGATTCTTTCTCAAAATGTAAACACTGCAAGCTTTTCTAGTTGACTATTGATATAATCTCTTCAAGAGCACTTCCAATTTCTACGGGCAAAACAAAATATTATTAATTTCTCATAACTATTCAAGCTCATGGAAAAACAATACCGTAAAAAAAAGGTTGATTCATCGTTACGCAAAAACTTTTTGCATTGCGCCCATCTTTCTCCTTGATTCGCTTATTTTTCACCTTGATTTATGAGTTGCTCAAACCCAAAGAAAAATTAAGACGAACGGATTTAAAAGACGAAAACATGGTTGAATTTTCAATTATGTAATCGAACTCAATAAGATAATTATTGTCATTTGGTGTAAAACTTGTTTCTCAATTATGCATCAAACATGTTATTGTTTGATCACGAAAATAAAACCAAAGACAAGGAATTAGACAAAATCCAACCCAAAAATGGTTTAAGAATGCCAAACATAGTTGTTCACAACCTACTCCGGCGATTTCGGAATTCACCTCTTGATCAACGGCGTAGCATTCCGGCTCAGCCCTTCTTCTCCGGCGAGAGCAAACGTCGGCAGGGCTTGGGCTAGGTCTCTTCTTCTGATTGGGTTTTTGTTGGGGTGATCCTGGTTTTTTCGACTCTGGGGAGATTTACATAACCTAGTGAAGTTATTTCCAAAATTGATTGATCTGATGGTCTCTAATCAGTCACGTTCCTGGTCTGGTGAGGGTTGGAAGAAGAACAAGAATCACGTTCAAAAGACCTCTAACGAAAGAATCCATGCAACATCCAGGTCTCAGTCACATTCGTTTTATATTACAAATTTCCCAGATTATATTATTCATTCCGATATATGGCGTACATGTTCTCGGTTTGGAAAAGTTTGTGATGTATTTATCTCCAAAAGTTGTCACGTATGGGGAAACGTTTTGGTTTTGTAAGATTTCCGGGCAATGTTAACGTTGATCATACGATTAAGAATCTTTGTGAAGTGTGGTTCGGGTATCACAAGTTGTTTGCTTCTATCCCTCGTATTCATAAGAAAGAGCCTAATTTCCATAGGGAACCACCTAAGGTGGAGAAGAAACGGGAGAATTTTTCTGTTTCATATGCAAATGTAGTAAGAGGTGGTCATAGTGAGAAATCTTTATCTGACAAAGAAGAATTAGCCATTGTTCTTGAATCTGGGAATTTTGTTATTGACAACAAAAAATTAGCGTGTTTAGCTAAGGCCCGTGACTTTAGTACTCTTCCTAATTTGGGTATGTTGTGCCATTTTGAAGGTTTTGATAACTTTATTATTCGATATGTGGGTGGCTTGTGGGTGATGTTTGAATTTAAATCCAAAGAAGCATGTAAAAACTTTTTATCTTGTGATGCGGTTAATCATTGGATCACTGAAAAAAGAAAATGGGACAAAAACTTTATGCCATCTGATCGTATTGTGTGGGTTGATGTTGAAGGTCTTCCCCTACGTGCTTGGAGTAAGAATTCTTTTAGACATATTTTGGCCAAATGGGGTTCAATTGCTCATCTTGATGATAACATTGGAGAAGACGTGTACAAATCACGTGTATGTATTATCACATCGTTTCTTGGTATAATTTCTGAAGTGATTAAAGTTTGTATTGATGGTGAAATATTCCCCATTCGTATCAAAGAAGCTCCCGGTTGGAATCCTACATTCATGTGTGAGTTCAACAATATTGATAATGATAGTGTTGATGCTATTCACCGATTTGAACAAGAACAAGTTGGTAGCAATGATTCATTAATTGATAAGGAAGATGTCTCACTTGATCCTTTTGGTATTTATGATGTAATGAAAAAAATGGATAATGAAGAGGAATTAAAAAAACCAACCAAGCTGCAAAAGAGTTCATTCCAGGGGCACTTTCGGAATTCTGCTACAATAAATGAAAACTCAAACTTACAGGGGCCACCTCATGTTGCTGGTCCTGGTCCAGCTCATGCTGATCAACAGACTCCCGATAAATATGACCCAGCACAACCCTATTCACAGGTTGAAGTCTTGCCGACAGCAGCTTAAGTTGCGCCTGATGCTGTCAAAATTGTGGCAGCAGCTCCTGTTGCTATCAAAAATGTGACAGCAGCTCCTGCTGCTGTTCCAGATGCTACCTTGACAGCTTCAACTCCTATTTTATCTTCTCACCTTCAAAAAAAATCTGAAGTTAATTAGAATTCAGGGGGTAAGAATGATGTTCTTATTGAAAACTTTCCTTCTAAGGATCGGGTTCATAGTAAACCAGTGGGTTTTTTCTGGAGGTTTTGGACGAGTCTCGGGTATTAATTGTTCTGAAGATGATCTCTCTCATCCCCCGGGTTTCTCGAATCAGTGGTTTTCTTTTTCAGGTAACAATCAAAGTATTTCAGATAGCATTGATAAAAATAATTCATTTCTAAATGAATTACAAAAAACTATTGCAATGGGAGAATCGTTGGGGTATAATATGGACGGTTGCATGGATCGTGTTACATAGATTTTAAAAGGGCACGTTGAGAGGCAAGTTCCAAAATGAATTGTTTATCAATAAATATTTAAAGGGCGGGCTCCTAAGATAAGAGGAGTTGGATAAAAAAATTGTGTAATCGTCATAAAGTTAACTTTTTAGCAATTCAAGAAACTAAGTTAGAGAACATTGACTTAGTTATGGCTAGATCTTTTGGGGTAATTCATCTTTTATGCACGCTTTTTCTCCTTCTCGTGGAGCTTCTGGGGGTATTCTTGTTATTTGGGATGTTGATTTGATTTCTCAAAGTCTAGTTTGCGTTCACGATGGCTTTGTTGTTATTGAGGCGGTTTGGGTTCGTTCGGGTCTCCAAGTGAATTTTATTGTTGTCTATGCTCCTTAAGGGTTAAATAATAAAAGACTTCTTTGGAATGATATTTATAATATTATCTCCAATTCATCGGGGGAATATATTGTTATGGGTGACTTCAATGAAGTTAGAGATGAGTCTGAGAGATTGGGATCGAATTTCAATATGTCTTTTGCGAGAGTTTTTAATGATTTTATTAATTCTCTAGATCTTGAGGATGTTCCTTTGGGTGGACCTCGATTCACTTGGAGCGATAAATGGGGTTCCAAATTCAACAAGATTGATAGATTTTTGGTCACGGAGGGTTTTTTGGATTCTTTTCCTCATCTTTCAGCTATTGTCTTGGAAAAGAATATTCCTGATCACCGTCTTATTCTTCTGTTGAAATATCGGGTAGATTATGGTCCGACACCTTTTCGTTTATTTCATTCTTGGTTTGATATGGAGGGGTTTGATAATATTGTTCGGGAGGCTTGGGCTACCTCGTTGGTGGGGATGGAGTTGACTAACCCTTGGGTCATTTTTAAGAAAAAACTTAAGTTTCTTAAATCTAAACTCATGGAGTGGAACTCTAAACACCGGGACATGGTGGGTAGTAAAAGGAAGAATTTGCAAGAGTTATTAGAGTCTATTGATATTAGGCTCATGGAGGATAAAGGGTCTGCTAACTTGAGAGAGCAAAGAGTTTCTTTATTGAAGGAGTTGTCGGATCATGATCATCTAGTTCAAGTCGATCTTGCTCAAAAGGCTAAAGTTCAGTGGGACATTGAAGGGGATGAGAACTCTAGATTTTCCATGGAATGCTTAATCGTAAAAGGAGACAAATAGCTATTCGTGGTCTGATGATTGATGGCGTGTGGTTGGATAATCCGGTCCAGGTTAAAGAGGGGTTTCATGATTATTTTCAATCTTTATTTCAGAAGAGTTCTTCGTGGAGACCTGTAACAGATGGTGCTCTTTTTAGTAACTTATCCCAATTGCAGGTTGATTATTTCTAGTCTCCGTTTTCCTATGAGGAGATAAAAAGGGCAGTTTGGGATTGTGGATCTACTAAAGCCCCTGGTCCTGATGGTTTTACTTTCGGGTTTTTAAAGAGATATTGGGATCTTGTTGCAACCGATGTTGAGGCGTTTGTTCACCATTTCTTCCATCATTCAGTCATCCCAAAGGGGTGTAATGCCTCTTTTTTCACTATTATCCCAAAAGTCAGAGATCCGAAGACTCCAAAAGATTTTAGACCAATTAGTCTTATTGGTTGCCAATACAAAATTATTGGTAAACTTCTGGCTAATCGTCTAGTGGAGGTTATTCATAGTGTTGTTAGCCTTGAGCAATCTGCTTTTATCAAAGGCAGACAGATCTTGGATGGTCCTTTTCTTCTGAATGAATTGGTTGCTTGGAGCAAGTCTTCCAAAAATCCTATGATGCTTCTTAAGGTGGATTTTGAGAAGGCTTATGACTCCTTATCTTGGGATTACTTATTGGAAATTATGTCCATTATGGGATTTGGGTCTATGTGGTGTCGGTGGATTAAGGAGCTTTTGTCGCCTGTTAGGGCTTCTGTGTTGATTAATGGTTCCCCGACTGACGAATTCCAAATTCACCGTGGGTTGAGACAGGGTGACTCGTTATCCCCTTTTCTTTTTATTTTGGCTATGGAGGGTCTTCATGTTGCTTTGATGAGGGCTCGAGCTGGGAATGCTTTCACAGGGGTTTCTATTTCAGGAATTGAGATTTCTCATCTCCTTTATGCTGATGATGTTATGTTGGTCACTCCTTGGGATCCTGAGAATGCAAATTGTCTTCTTCGTATTCTTAGGTGTTTTTATTTGGCTTCAGGGCTTAAAGTTGATTGGTGTGGGAATTTCTTCTTCCCAAGTTCTTACAGTGGCTAACATGATTGGTTGTGCAGCTTCTACGCTCCCTTTTTCTCATCCTGGTATCCCAGTGGGCCAGCCTATGACTCGAATGTACTCTTGGGTTTATATTATTGATAGATTTCGTTCTAAGCTTTCAAATTGGAAGGCTAAGTTTCTTTCGTTTGGAGGTCGCCTTACTTTGGTGAAGTTTGTCTTGGGCTCGTTAGGGAGTTACTTGATGTCTGTCTTTCTTGCTCCGCTTTCGGTTTTGAAGGATCTTAAAGGAATGAGGGCGAGATTTTTTTGGGGTGCAGACAGGGATGAACGTCGTATGCATTGGGTTAGATGGGACAAAGTTTTAGCCTCCATGGATGAAGGAGGATTGGGGATAGGTAGTCTTTTCTCTTTTAATAGGGCTATGATATTTCGGTGGTAGTGGAGGTTTTATCACTACCCCGATCTTCTGTGGGTTAGAGTGATAAAATCTATATATGGTTTGGATGGTGCATGTAGGAATTTGAGATATCTTATTACTGGCCAAGGCCCTTGGGGTGGGGTTGTTCGTATGTTCTCCCAGTTACGCCAGAAAAATATTGATCTTCTATCTCTTTGCCCCATTAGAGTTGGAGATGGTACTCACACTTCTTTTTGGCATGATGTTTGGAGGGGTGAAATGCCTTTGTCTGCCTATTTCCCTAGAATTTATGTGGTGGACTTGCATAGACATGTTTCTATTACTGATAGGTTGTCTATGGGATTGGGGGTTAATACCCTTAGACGTGGCCCTAGAGGTGGAACGGAACAAGAGCAATGAAATAACTTTATTTTTCTTCTGCAAGATTTCTAACTCAGGCCGGTTCCAGATAGACTGGGTTGGGTTAATGATTTGTCATATACTTTTTCTATTTCTTCGGCTCGAAATTTTTTGGATGGTTTTATGCTTAGTAACGGAGGTATTTCTACTCGTTGGAATAATTGGGTTCCAATTAAGATTAATATTCTTATTTGAAGGATTAGATTGTCTAGTATCCCTACTAAAGAGCGATTATCTTATAGGGGTATCCTGGTGGATTCTATTCTTT